AAGGGAAGAGGAGGAATTCCATGAGATAAATATCAGTAATTAAATAAAATCCCGCCCAAAAAACATTAATCCAGGAGCCATAGATCCAAACTTAAATCCATTAGACATGGAATATGTGTGGGAAGCCCCCCCCTCCCGAAGAATGAAATATTTTGGGGGATATTAAAAGGCAGAATATTATATTTCCCCAAAGGAAAAATGGAAAAACATGTTCTTAAAAACAAAAGGCAGACTCAGTCTTTCTTAATAGCTCCCAGCAGATATTTTGTGCTCATTAAAAAAGATTGAATAAAATAGAATAGAATTCTTTATTAGCCAAGTGTAATTGGGCACACAAGGTATTTGTCTTGGTGCATATGTTCTCAGTGTACATAAAAGAAAAGATACATTTGTCAAGAATCATAAGGTACAACACTTAATGATAGTCATAGGGAACAGTCAATATAAATCTTAAGGATACCAGCAACAAGGTTACAGTCATACAGTCATACAGTCATAAGTGGAAGGAGATGGGTGATAGGAACGATGAGAAGATTAATAGTAATGCAGACTTAATAACTAGTTTGACAGTGTTGAGGGAATTATTTGTTTAGCAGAGCGATGGCGTTGGGGAAAAAGCTGTTCTTGTGTCTAGTTGTTCTGGTGTGCAGTGCTCTATAGCGTTGTTTTGAGGGTAGGAGTTGAAACAGTTTATGTCCAGGATACGAGGGGTCTGTAAACATTTTCACAGCCCTCTTTTTGACTCGTGCAGTATACAGGTCCTCAATGGAAGGGAGGTTGGTAGTAATTGTTTTTTCCGCAGTTCTAATTATCCTCTGAAGTCTCTGTCTGTCTTGTTGGGTTGCAGAACCAAACCAGACAGTTACAGAGGTGCAGATGACAGACTCATCTGCACATCTTAAGAAAGATTGAGCCAGCCTATTCACAAAACAAAAGAACTTCACCTCCAGGAATGGGATTAAAATTTACATTCTCCTCCACCCAAATTCTAAGAACAGGACATGACCCTTTAGGACATAATAGGATTAACCTATTTAGCAAAAGACACAAGCCCTTTCATTGCACAACCCCCCAGAACAGTTCAAACTTCAAAGTCACAGAAACCTCTAAAGATCCATCCACCTATTCAGCCATTTGGTCAGCTGTCCCAGAACCACATGCTGTTGGTGATTCTGCTTCATCAATGAGTGGACCCTCTTTCCAATCAGCCTTCATGTTATTTACATCGTCTTTCTCCCAGCCTGGAACTGAACCAGGTGGATTTTCCTTCCAACATATGAAAATTTCACTTCATCAATAAGCTTTTTGAAAAACATGTTTTGATTGAAGCAATGACAGAACTTACATTAATGTTGCTTTCTTTTCTTTCCTTCTTCTCATTTCAAACCCAGCACACAATAATATTCCTGATGAGATACAGACCAGTTACCAATGTCCTTTCCTTAATGGTATGTCTTCTTCCCACAAGCAAGTCTGGAAACCTCCTTTTATAAACTGTACACACCTTCCAGCTGTAGCAACCTGCTGAGTGCTCATATTTACACCTTATTGGCTGATGTCTTCTGACTCAACCTAATAGGAGGACTTCCCTATCAAATGGATTCTTTTTATTATAGTAGCATAGGGTGGGCAGATCTGCACTTTCTGCTTTGCCCCCTTACCAGTATAAGCCCACTCCATATTTACTGAGAACAGCAATCAATGATGTCTCCTTCTTATTCAATACAATTCAATTCAGATACAGTCTTTTGGATTCTTCTAATAATGCTTTAATTGTATTCTGGTTAATGTAATAGGTGAATTTGTAATGATTGAATTAACTTTCTTTCTTTTTCTTTTCTTTTCTTTTTTTAGTTGATATGCTTTGAAAGTTTCTTGGAGCACTCTTTGATTTGATTTTATCCAAGGATCAAAGGAATACATTTGGACACATAGGGAAAATGGTCTATTTTGGTGTTAACACCAGCTGAGCAATTAAAACAAGATCATTTGTGGTTGATCATGTGAGTCCTCATTCGATGGAATGATTTTAAATGGTATCTTCTACAGTTTTACAAGGGAAAAATAATCAGAATATTTGCTTTGGAGGAGAAATGTGTATCCAAATTGTTTTGTTTTTTTATTAGTTAAAAAATACAAACAAACATAAATACAACGATACAACATACAAAACAAACGAACATCAATTAAGTCTTACGACTTACTCTTAGAGATGTCGCATTGGTAGGCTATTTTTCCATGCTTATCTATATATCTATATATTTACATATTTACATGTAAAGCATTAATATATGTTCCATCCTTAAAAATTGTTACATTCCTTAATTGATACTCAAAATTTTGTCTTAAGATTGACCTTATTCTTTAGTGTCCCTATGAATGTATTTCTAATTTTTTCTCCAACCAGTTATACCATTTCTGCCATGCTAAGTAGTATTCTGTATCATCTTTCTCCTGTAGTTCTTTTGTAAGTTTATCCATTTCTGCGCATTCTGTGATTTTAGTGATTATTTTGTTTTCTGTCGGTATGTGTTCCTGTTTCCAATATTGGGCAAAGAGTATGCGAGCTGCAGTTAGGATATGGATAATTAATAGGCCAAATATTAGCTTTTGTGGCTGACCACTCACATCTACTAATTTCAATTATTTATTTATTTGTATCCCTCCTTTATTATTTTTACAAATAGTTCAAGGCAGCAAACATATCCAATACTTCCTCCTCCTCCTCTTTTCCCCACTACAACAACTCATGAAGTGGGTTGGGCTGGGTTAGAGTGACTGGCCCAAGGTCACCCAGCTGGCTTTCATCACTAAGGCAGGATTTAAACTCACCGTCTCCGGGTTTCTATCTAGTATCTTAAGCACTAGCCAAAGTGACTCTCATTGGCTTTATTACACTGAAATTCAACAGGTACCATGCTAGTTCTAAGAACTGCAGTCTAACAGACATATATGATCAAGATACGGAAGAGATTATTAGCTAAATTGTGTGCCATTTTGCAAGAACAGAAAGGAAGGAAAATGGGGCTGAAGTCTTGAGTATTCATTAACTTGAGTTCAGTAGAATGCTAAATATGTATTAACATTCCTTCCAAAAAGTATCTTCTCATTGTAATTGAGGATGCAATGTATCCACCCATTCTACTGAGTCTCAAAAGAAGTTTACTGCTCCTGGTTGACCTACCTTCACACTTCACACGTTTCCTTCTGTCGGTTATGTTTTACGTTAAAGGTAGTCATAATATATAAGGGAGGTATCCTCTGAAAAACTCCAGATGGGTTCAAAATGGTGAAAGGCACCATTGTCCCAATTTTTAACCGTTTTTCATCATGTAAATATTAAGTTTGCCCATACAAATATGCAGAAAGGGCAGGGGCAGACTGTGGCTGTTCTTGCCAGCTAAGAGAAAGGCTGCTCCCCCAGCCTGCCCCCCCTCTCTCTCCAAAGTTCCTCATGGCAGAGGCAGCATTGCTTACCCACGAAAGCACAGCCCTGGCTGCTGTTTCTGCCTCTTCTCCAACCACTTGGAGCCCTGTGTAATAGCGCTGCAGCTTGCTCGAGGTAGCTGCCTTTTAGACTTCCCCCACCCCCCTCTTCCTCTGTCTTCTCCTCCTTGAGTTGGAGCCTAGTGCATGACCGAGGCTGAGGAGGGATGGGATAGTAGCTGCACGGATCCCCCGGTGCCGCCTATGTCCCCTGCCCTGCAATAATGAAGTGCTTTGCCAAGGAAAGCAGAGTCCCAGGCTGCTCCTGGAGCAGCCAGGAGAAGGAGAAACTGCCAGTGGGGAGGCGAGCCACCCCAGGAGGACCGGAGGAGAGTGCAGCTTCTCACTCATGGAGATCTACCGGTGGGAGAGTGGGTGCCGTAAGAGGTGCGCTGGCCAGGAAGCGGTCATGCTCCCTGGCCAGAGAGGGTTGCACAAACCTTTGCTGGAGTGAACGTGCAACCCTCTCCTGCCAGGGAGCATGACCACTTCCTGGCTCGCGCATTTCTTACCACTTTCCGCAACCACTTCCCCGCTGGAGGATCTCCATGAGTGAGGAGCTGCGCTCTCCTCCAGTCCTCCTGGGGCAGCTCGGTTCCCCACTAGTGGCTTCTCCTTCTCCTGCCTGCTCCAGGAGCAGCCTGTCTGTTACCCGGCAAGAACAGCCGGCCACCACAGCCTGCCCCGCCCTCTCTGCCCCGGCAATTGCTCCTGGTGCTGCCGGAGAAGTGGCAGCATGAAAACTGCTCTTGCTGGGAGCAAGGAGGTGGCGGCAGCAGGAGCAGCAGTAGGCCAGGGCTTTCCTCCCTCCCTCCCTCCGGAGGCCTGGGGCTATGCCAGAAGTCTGTTCAGATGGGGAGACAAGGAAGCCACCACTGACCCTTTGCCCTTGGCGGCAGCAGTTCTTGCACAGCCGCTTCCCTGGCAGTGGCAGGAGCAGCTGGCAGGGGAGTGGGAATGGCGGCAGGCTGCAGCAGCAGACAGTTCGAGCTGGCTAAGAGGCAACATTCCTCCTCCTGCCAGCTTCGAGCTCTGCTCTACACCCTCTTGACGAATATCTTCTGACTTAATCCAACAGCGAGACCTCCCTATCAAATGAATCCCTTTTATTATAGTAGTAACCAAATTTGAACATTAATCAGTTGAATAATGACAGTCAAGGTAATCCGATTCAATATAAAATATCAGCTCCCATTGTATCAGCTTTTAATGTTAGTCTAGTTTTCTGGGGAGCTTTTCATATGGATGCTTTCTTTATCCTTTGACAGTCTCCCAGTTTCCCATGGAAAGTTAGGAGATGCCTAACTCCTGTAAAGAAAATCTGCAGCATTATGGAGAGGCAAAAAATGAGGAATACAAAGAGAAGTTCCACTGGATAAGTAAATATGCCCTTACATCATTTGGGAGAGAGACCTTGGCACGTATGGTATGGAATTACTATTGAAATCATCCTATATTATGGGAATCTTTCTATTAACTACTGACTAAGCCGATGAATGTAGCACATATTATGCCAGTGTTCAGATCGGATTTATTTATTTAAGAAAACTTGCAAACCCGCCTACAAGTTAAAAGCCTAGGAAGTTACATTGTTTATAACTTTAGGATCTACATTAAGTTAGCAGTAGGATCTAGACTTAATTCTTCAGTAGGAAAGAAACACACCATGGTTCATAAATAAAACAGAAGGATAAGCAAATTTGAACACAAATCAAATGAACAATAAAGACAGTCAACGTAAACTCAGGAAACAAAAAACACTTGAGTGTCTGGCACTTCCACAGGTACAATGAGAACCGTGGAATTCCAGATGGCTTCATCGATATTTCTCCATCAGGCCAAGGATTACCTTGTATGCACGTTGGGGAGCATCAATGCCCCAAATAAAATCCCAGTGAGACCAATCAGGAATCTCCTTATAATAGACAACATTAGTTGTTCGAAAGCGTAATTGTGCAATTTCCATTGGCCGGCAAACCCAATCTTGTCCTCCAGTCCACATAGCAACTGGCACAGTGATGGCCTCTATCCTGTAGAACGGTGGAGTTGTCTGAGGAAAAGAAAACAGTGTGAGAAAATTAGAAATTCTAATTAGAATTTTTGTTCTAATTAGAACAAAATTCAATACAAGGGGGGGAAATTGAACAAAAGGACTTCTTCTATACAAGAAGTATCCAGAGGAGCCCAAAGAAATTCTGAATCAGGGTAGTGAATTGTCATAGATTCTTTCACTGCATTCCTTGTTTTGCTATAGATTGTGCCAAAATGCAAAAACTCAGACAGGTGCTCCTCAAGATATCAATCATTCAGAGACATCCATTCCTTTTAGTAAGATGTTTTATAGAAAATGGCCATGGACAAGCATAATGAAAAGTAAAAGAAAAAAGAAAAAAAGAGCACAGTTACTATATATTTTCTGCATCCCCATTTCTATTTAGTCCTCTTTGTTATATCGTCTCTGACTCAACCACTTTTAAAAATTTTTATTCTGCACTGTACTTACTGCAGGCTATATCCATATTGTACTTATATTTTAAAGATGCTCAAAGCCCTGCAGAGAATATAGGAACGCTTCTTAATTTCCCTACACCTATCTCCACACTTGTGGGCACTCCACCTGTAGTGATCTCAGAAAAAAAATGTGTGAGTTCTATATCCTAGACAAAAGATCGGAAAAGCAACAGGCCCAGACAGAGTGACTCCTTCTTGCTTGAAAGCCTGTGCTGAACAATTAGCCCCACCTTAAAACAGCTGTTTAATAAATTACTGTTTTGTCCCTTCTATCATCATCCCAGTTCCTAACAAACCCTGTGTCAGGGAGCTGAATGACTATAGGCCATCTGACATCTATAGTCATGAAGTCCTTTGAGAGGTTAGTGGTGGCCCATTTTGAAAGTCATCATGGATCTGCTGTTAGACACACACACCCCCTTGCAGTTTGCTACTGAGCAAATTGATCAACAGATGAGGCTGTCAATATGATCTTGAGTCCCTGGGGACCTGTGCATGGGTCCTTTTTGAGGACTTCAGTTCAATGCTAAATGCCATCATTCCAGAAATTCTTCACTCTAAAGCAGAAGAAGCAGGTGTAATGTCCTCCCCATATCCTTCCACTTCTATCCCAACTACTTTCCTGAAAACACGTGTCTATTGCTTTCCAATAAACAGAAATTTTTTACTTATGGGGATTTTCCAAAACAATAGGACGTTTTCAAATCAAAAATACTTTCAATTATTTATATCTTATTTTTAGTTACCCAGGATAAAAGTATTTCACAGAATAATCTGGTAGTTTGGCAGAAAGCAATCATTATATTATGAGATTTAGGAATCAAATGTTCATTATTTGTCTTCTTTCCCATGAAAAAATGCAACAAACCCTACATTAAAGAAGTGTCAAAATCCAGCACCACCAACCTGGTTATAGATATCTATGTTCTTCGAGCCATAGTCAAAATATCTGAAAAGCCCACTTTTCATTAACTGGAATAAGAAAGAAAACACAACAGAGACATAAGGAACTATATTTTTCTATTATAAAAATAATAATGAAGTGTAAAGACAAAAATGATGCAGAAATCCTCCAATCATGTTTCGTTACCATTTAAGGGGAGTTAACTCCAATGAGAAGACATCGAGACAACTCACAGTTTTTATCATTTCCATGAAGTTGTTTATTGTCATACAGCCAGCAAAAAATAAAAAAAACAAAACTAGTCAGAACTGGATGTTAAGATATTGGACCTAACTACAGGTAGTCCTTGACTTACAACAGTTTACTTAGTGACTGTTTGAAGTTACAACGGCACTGAAAAAAGTGACTTGTGACAGTTTTTCACACTTATGACCGTTGCAGCTTCCCCATGGTCACATGATCTATATTCGGATGCTTGACAATTGACTCATATTTATGACGGTTGCTGTGTCCTATGGTCATGGGATCCCCTTTTGCAACCTTCTGACAAAGCAAAGTCAATGGGGAAGCCAGATTTCACTTAACAGCCATGTTACTAACTGAACAACTGCAGTGATTCACTTAACAAATATGGCAAGAAAAGTCGTAAAATGGGACAAAACTCACTTAACAAATTTCTCACATAGCAACATAAATGTTGGGCTCAACTGTGGTCGTAAATTGAGGACTATCGGTAGAATACCATGTGCCTTACCAAAGCCACTGTCAGCCATTTTGTTTATGTTAAAAATGGAGGACATTTTTTTCATAAATCTTATATTTTACAACTCAACTCATAGGTTCTACTTTCCCAACTACAAAATGGCCAATAAAAAGCTCAGGTTTTCACTCCAAAGCATTCTGGAATGGTTGCCTTAAAAGATCTTTCTAAAGTTTTATTTTTTTAAAGAAAAACATTTCCAAGTAGTTATCATGAACAAATCATATTTGTACAGCCTTTGGCATGTAAGCCATATGCATCCATGGACATCTCCAGATAGATGGGTGAGTCAAAAAGGTTAAACTCCTTCCCCTTTCCCCCTTTTTTTACATACATTAAGGCTTTGATCATGCAGTCACCCCCTCCCCATCTTTCTTTGATACTCAAGATAACTTAAAAATCAATGTGGCATCTAGGTATCTAAAGAAAACCCATTCACCTTTGGATTAGACAAAATGTGTTCATTGTTTAGCGTATGGCATATCATACATGCACTAGCAATATATATTAACATTTCACTTAGATTAGTAAAACGCAATACAATATAAAAGGTATTCAAGTATATTCTTTTCAGAAGGACTGAGATGTGCAATATTTTTGAAAGACGTTTTCATTAAGCAAATGCTGTCTTCAATTAAGAATTTGCTGAACTGGTTTAACCAGCAGTTAAAGGTATTTACTTACCTTGGTTTTGTCTTATTCTTATTGGAGTTCTCAAAAGAATACTTTATGATTATTTTTACCTGACCATGGGGATTTTTTAATTAAAAGATGACAACGTTTGTTGAATTCAATCATCAAAATGAGCCTTACCTGGCTCAAGTGGATTATGTGTTTTACCGAAGTATAATCTGGGAAATGTGAAATATACACATCAGAACGGCTCTAGAAACAGTAAAGAAAAGACTGTTTAGAAGAATTTTATACTGCAAAAGGCTTCTATGAACTGTACTGCGTAAAAGATGAGAAGCATCTAGGCCTTTTTGTCGTCACGTGCCAAAAGTGGGGGAAGCGTGGGGGGGTCATGCACGCATGTGCCCACACCCATAATTCAATGCCCCCCATGCCCGCCCGCCCATGCACGTGTGACCCCGCCACACTCCCCCCACTTTTGGCACGTGATGGCAAAAATGGACCTGGTAGGCCCATTTTTCGCCCTCCCCAGGCTCCAGAAGCTTTTTTGGAGCCTGGGGAGGAAAAAATGGCCTCCCCACCCCCAGAGGCCCTCCAGAGGCCAGAAATGCCCCTCCCAGAGCCTCCACGCGAGCCCTGTACTTACCTGGCATCCAAAATGGGCCGCATGGAGACTCCTGGGAAGGGAGGGGCAGTGTTGGAAGCATGCATGCACGCTGGAGCTGAGCTAGGGCAATGTTCACATGCCCACAGATATGCGTGCCATAGGTTCGCCATCACGGATCTAGGCTAATCTTGAGCTAATCACTGAGTAATTTCATACAACAGGAAGGGAGGGAGGGAGGAATAGATATCCAGATGAAATAGGAAGATTATGTTTTTATTTACCTTTCACTGTTTAAATGCAATGTGTTTTAAAGTATGACACACCAAAGAATTATCAGCACCATTGGCATTGTTTTTTAATGTTGTTTTCATCCAGAGACTCAGATCATAGAAATACTTGCAAATGTATATCTATATTGTTGAGAATCTGAATCCAAAAGCTCCACACATTCACATACCCTTGCATACTTTCCCAATGCAAATTGAGCTTCCAGGCTAGGGTTAAATTAATAGAATCATAGAATTATGAAACTGAAAGACATCAAAAGGATACCCTTTGTTAAAGACTGAAGACACATCCCGTGTGGTGCTGGACAACACAGTTATCAAACCTCCTGCAACATTTCTGACAACGTCCCTCATTTAAGTCTTGTGGGAACTTTTTTTAGGAAATGTATTTTGTCCTGCAAACTCTTTATCTTGGACTATTTCACTCTTTAACTATATAAGTGTGGGGACATCCTTTAAAAAGCTTCATTTTCTTTAACATTTTGAAAAACTTCATTTAAATACCTTATTTAAATTCTTCAGATTAAATCCAGCAACTAGAGAAAGTGCTTGTCTGCAGAGTTCATCAACCGGCTGCCGTCTACACTGTTGGGCCAGAGCTGTTCTCTGGTGTGGATTCAGCAGAACAAATTCCTTCTTCCCAAATATGAGCTGCAAAACCAAGGAATCCTTTTTCCTGTGAATCTTTCCAATGGCATTCTTAAACAAACTGGCAAATTAAGAATCTTAATATTCTAAAATCCTTAAATTAAGAAAACAGCTGCAGGCTATGTAAATAAGTTTTAGAGATTCTTCCCATTTCAATTATTTTTCCAATTTTCAGATTTATAAAAGATTTTGGCCTTGTTCTTCAGTTTATTTTTTTAACAAAAATATGAATTTGCTATAAAGTTCTATATATTAGAAATTATGGAAGAATAAACTCACCACCTGGGTGAAGGGAAAAGGAACGATTCAAAAAAGGCATGTCCAACCTTTTCAATTGCCTGGGCCACATTGAGTAAAAAGGACCACATATAAAATGTATAATATGGTTAATGTATATATAAATCGCACTTAAACTTATACACCACTTCACAGTCCTCTCTAAGTGGTTTACAGAGTCAGCATATTGCCCTTAACAATTCACATTTTATCAACCTTGGAAGCATAGAAGGCGGAGTCAACATTGAGCCGGTAAGAATCGAACTGCAGGCAGTCAGCAGAATTAGCCTGCAATACTGCATTATAACCACGGCCCCACCATGGCTCTTTTGCACATAATAATGTTTAAAGTTTACAATTTTATGAGACTGCTTTATTAGCTGTCCAGGATCGTATGTGGCATGTGGGCCACAGCTTGAAACGGCTGCTTTAAAGAACTAAGAAACAGTTCTGATAAGAAAACTCAGTGCTACAAATATAGGAATGGGAACATAAAAATAGAACATAAAGATAGAAATAATAGATTAAATAAGAGTTGTAAACTTATAGGCAGAAGAACAACACAGGGGTTTAATTTTGCATAAATAAAACAATTTTGTGTGGTCTTTATAATAAATAAACCTAACAGAAAAAAAAGTTGCTCATGTTAAAAGCAAAATTCAAGAGGAGTATCATGTGCACAAGGTCAAAAATGGAATCAAGTAGATGACACAATAAAACTGGACATTGAAGACAAACTTGAAATCCCTGATGCCTTCAAATCAGTGGTGGGTTGCCCCCAGTTTGGACCACTTCGCAGGAACCGGTAGTAAAACCGGTGGGAGGGCCCGCACACTGCCCCAGATGTCATCATCAGCAATCTGTGCATGCATTGCGAACCGGTGATAAAGGTAAGTAGAACCCACCCCTGCTTCAAATGATCCCGTACCTTAGAATAAACTCAGGATATCCTTCTAAAAACTGCAGAGAAGAATTTGCACTGCAAGGTTTGCAAATATTGCTGTCAGTGCCAAAATGAAGCAGCTCTGAAAGTTGTTTTTTCTTCTTTCATCCTTCTTATTAGTACAGGTAATAATCCTTCCTATTAGTACAGGTAACTAAAAATTGGTATTGGTCTATATATCAGACATGTCAAACTCAAAGCCCACGGGCCAGATCCAGCCCACAGGGTGTTTAGATGTGGCCCATGGGGCTGCCCTGGAGACAGCGAGGGGGCGGCCTCTGCCAGCTCCGCCCACCCCAGCCGCAACTGCATCTTAGACCAAGAAGAAGGAACAGAAGGCCAGTGGCTGGGCTGCCTTCTGGCCTGCTGGATTTGGGTTTTTCTTTTGGTTGCGGCGTATGGCTTGACTGTCGCCGAAATGCAGGAGGGTTTCTCTATCAGCAGGAATTGGAAGCCTGAAGGCCTCTATCTTTGTGGCCATGCAGTTCTAAAATCGATGGGCTGCTGCTAGGGAGGGAAATAGGAAAATAAGGCAAAACAAGCATAGTCTACCATGGTTTATTAATTGCCAAGTTTTCCTCAGGTTTTCCTATCCCTTCCTGGCTATTAAAATCACATTGCTAAGGTCTGTACCGAACACCTGGCTGCAAACTAGGCAGCAGGGGTGTCAAACTCAATTTCATTGAGGGCCACATCAGGATTGTGTTTGACCTTGAGGGGCTGGGGTGGGCGTAGCCAGGGTGAGCATGGCCAGCTCAATGTCACTCGTGTCGGAGGCACCTGTGGTGGCCTGAGTGCTCTGCCAGGGAAAATGGGCTCCCAAGTTCTGTTTTCAGGTGTGAGGCCTCCTGCAACCGTGTCCCAGTGGAAATGGAGCTGCCTGTGGCCCTCCCGAGTTCTATTTTTGCTGGCAGAGTCACCACAGGTCGGTCCTTCACTGTTTCCAGGGCAATCCTATGGGCCAGTTCTAAGCACCCTGCAGGCCAGATCCGGCCCACAGGCCTTGAGTTTGACACCCCTGGCCTAGCCCATTGTGCAATCCCAGGCCACTTTCTGGAGGTAAGAGGATGTAGTAACAGGAGAGGGCTGAAAAATTGCTCCATTATTTATTGTTGCCTCTAGCAGCAATAACTATGTTCTTTCACATATTTGCTAGCAGCCTGCAAACTGTGAACTTCCCTTTCCCCCTGGGGGAAAGAATTCAGAAGTGCTAGATTGATTTTTCCTGCTAATTACAGTATATTTGTATATTTGTATTTAAGGAGCTGTGAGAAAAAGATGTGTCTGAAAATTAAAGGATGTCAGGATTGAGCTGTGAGACAGGAAAGGAAAGTGCGCCATTAATATTCTGACTTGAAACCTGCATGCTCTCAGGGCCCAAAATTTATCTTCATTCTTCATAGGTAGGTATTGTGGATTAACTAAATTCTTCTGGATTCTGGTTTTAAGATGAGTATCTTGAGCTAAGGAGGCCTTTGACCTTCTTCTTAAATACATAATAATAAAATAATGAGAACTAAAGACTTGAAGCGAAGGCAGATTAGAAAGAACAAGACCTTCAATTCCCTTCCTGCTAAGAGTTCCTTAATAAGGTTTGCTCTTCCTTCCTAACATCAATAAAGGTGGTTTTTCCAGAAAATGTGTGAAGAGCTACAATTAGTGATTTAACTATGTTTTCCTTTTGGCTGTTTTTTAATTTATATAATATATGTTTAATTCGGGTAGCTTGGAGAGGCAGAAGTGACCAACATGGAGGCTGCACCTTGCTCTCCAGATATTTCTCCCCTGCAAATCTCTGGAGAGGAGAAGGAGGGGGTGGCAGAGCTACGTGAGGGAGGGCTGCCCCAACAAGCCAGCATCCTTACCACACACAGTTGGAAACAGAGATTCCCTTTCTAGAAGGGCCAGCCTCCCTTGTGCAGGATTGGGGAGCGCTGTTCCCCTGCCTCCTCCTCTTGCTCTCTAGAGGTCTGTCAAGGCAGAAGTTGGACTCAGAGTAAACTGTATTAATATTTAAGACAGAATTAAAATACATTTGTAAAATGTAACTAGCATCTAAAACTGAGATCCAGGATAAAACATAATGTATTTTTTTTTAAATTTGATTTATATGCCACCCTTCTCCGGAGACTCAGGGCGGCTTACAATGTGCTAAGCAATAGCCTTCATTCTTTTGTATATTTATACAAAGTCAGCTTATTGCCCCCACAAACTGGGTCCTCAATTTACCTACCTTAGAAAGGATGGAAGGCTGAGTCAACCTTGAGCCTGGCGAGATTCGAACCTGCAGTAATTGCAGGCAGCTGTTCTTAATAACAGGGTGCTTTAGACCACTGTACTACCAAGGCTCTTGTTTTTGGAGTATAAGACGGCCTCCCGACTCTCAGCTGATTTGCTCTCAGCTGTTTTGCAGAGGGCTCTGCTGCTTGCTGCAAAGATGTAAATTGCTGGGAGCAGATTTTTTTTTCCTTATGTTAATCAAGCTATGCTGAAAACAAAACTGAAATTAAAGCAGGCTGTTTGCTGTTTGCTGTTTGCTGCAACGAGGCAAAATTGCTCAGAGGCAGAGGGAGATTTTTTTTTCTTCTTTTCCTCACCAAAAAAGGTAGGCGCGTCTTATACTCCAGTGCATCTTATACTCTGAAAAAATTGGTATATGAAATTATAATGTAAAGGAGGGACTTCTGGTTGGTGATTCGTGGCGACATGGTTGTAGGAGTGTGATCTCTGCTCCCCAACCCCGTTTCTCGCCATGCTTTGGGGACCCCAAGGAGCTCAAAGCCCGGAGAGAGGGAATCAGGCAAGCGGGAAAGCGTAGAGCAAACACTCCCTGCTCGACCGGACGCCAACACAAGTGCGTCTGTCATTTAATGGCAGACTTGAGGCCACGATATGCCAGCAAAGAAACGGGAAGCAAAGAAGAAGATCGGAGGAGACAGTGCTAGACAAGGAGATTTTTATCTTCCCTGATCACTGGAGAGACCAAATCGGAGAGGAAGTGAGGTCGACCACGTCGGGCAAAAGGACTCGCAGAAGGGAACCGAGTGGCAACTGGAGGAAAGGAGAACCAACTGAAAAAGTGGAGAGAACTGACAGGTCAGCACGGAAGAATAAGAAGAGTGTCTTAACAGAGCTGCGGCCCAAGAGAAAGATCGGTGGGATGCTGTAAGTAACAATAAAGTGGGGGGGGGAACACCTAGCTGTCATGGAGAGATTTAATGGAGAGTTAGACTGACGGAGACCCAGGCGGAGATCGAGGAGGAAAGAGGCAGGAAACACGGCCATTCTAAGGAACTGATGGCAGCAGCAACAGAAGAGTGACTAATAGACTAATAAAACGGAGAAGGGCATATCAAGAGTACAGCTAATTAACTTTGATAAATTGGAGAAACTGATTTTGAAAGAAATGACAAGCTTTGCTTCAACAGTATTAAAAAAAGGAAAGAAGACGACCTCTAATCCCACAATCACTATGACCTCGTCTGCAACTCAAAGATCGATTGAAGGACTATCTAAAGCAGAAAAATCCGTGGTTATTCCAACAATGCAGGCTATGCAATCTACCTGACATTAATCCAAGAAACAATGATGAAAATGCAGGAGAAAATGTCCAGCAATCACGAGGAGTTGAAGATGGATATCCAAGCTCTAGACTATAAGATGAATGAGATACAAAAAACGATCCACGATAACAAAAGATAAAGAAAGTGGAAACAAGGATGGAACAAAATGAGAAAAAGCTCGAATCAGTTGACCAGAAATTGATGGCGCAAAATAGAGAATTAGAGGATTCGATTATTCAGTTAGAGATGGACCGGGCGGCTTTTTACTTGCGATTTCAAAATATCGCAGAAGGCAAAGCAGAAGATCTGGGGCAAGTGATGGCAGAACTGATTGCGGAAGCCCTACAACAAGATAAACAGCAAATAATAAATGAGTTGGATGAAGTCTACCGGGTGCAGACCAACTACGCTAGAAGGAATAAGTTGCCAAGGGAGGTCCACATCAGGTTCACCAGGAAGAAAGTTAGAGATATACTGTACAATGTAACGAGGGAGGAGCCAATGATATACAAGGGGAAGAAAGTGACAACATTGAAGCAAGTCCCTAGGAGGGTAAGGGAATTAAGAAGGGACTATCGCTTCCTAGCCATACAATTAAATAAGAGAAATATTTTATTCAGATGGATTCTGCCGGAAGGTATGTTAATTACATGGCTAGGGGGAAAAAAATCAAGATTGACAGTCTAGTAACTGAGCAAGACTTCCTTGATCAGCTGGTAGGGATGGAGGAAGAGCAGAGCAGCAAGGAAGAAACTGGAGCAGCAGTCCAAGAAGAGGAAATTCCCTCCCAATGAGAATATAGCAACATCTGTATAGTGGGAGATTTCAATGGGATAGCGGACTCTGATAAAGATCACAGGAGCGGCAAAGACAAAAAAAAAAGAGACAAGCTACCCAAAATCTTTTTTGATCTAATGGAAGAAATGAACTTAATAGATATCTGGACGACCCTACATCCAGACGAAAGACAATATACTTTCTATTCGAACCCTCAAATATCATGGTCTAGAATAGATATGATGTGGGTTAGCAAAAAACTGGGATTAGAAATCGATTCCGCAGAAATTACACCAAACATATGGGCAGACCACAACCCCCTAGAAATTAAGTGGAGGGTTTCACAGAGGAAAAAGTTGAGGAGATGGAGATTAAATACACAACTTCTAAGGGATAAAGAATACATAGAAAAAACCAGGGGAGAATTAAAACTATTTTTCAAAGAAAATGAGAATCAAGAAACAGCCCGAACAAACATATGGGGCACAATGAAGGCATATTTAAGTGGCTTAACAATATCATACAACGCATATAAAAATAAAAATAAAAAGCGGAAGGCTCAAACTGCCCTACAGGAAGAACTGGGGAAAGTGGAAAAGAAGCTGCAGCAAAACCCAGGAGACAAGGTGACAAAAGAGAATTGGACAATGTTAAGACATAAATTGAATTTACTAGACCAGGATTTGGCTTATAAAATAAAACAATCGAAACAATATTATTTTGAAAACACCAACAAACCCGGCAGATAGTTGTCCTACAAATTAAAGAAAGAAAATGAAAAACGGAGTATTCATCAATTGGAAGACAAGAAGGGAAACCTACAAAATAAAGAAGAGGATAAGCTTGAAATTGCTCGTGAATCTATACAGAACTCTATAAAGAGGATGAAGTTCCTAGAGAAAGGATTATGCAGAATCTTTCAGAAAATGAACCAGTATTGATAGGAGAAGAGGAGAGGGAGGAGTTGAATAGAGAGGTCATGATAGAGGAATTGAAGATGGCAATTTCCAGATTGAAGAATAATAAATCACCAGGTCCGGACGGTCTCCCAGGAGAACTATACAAAAAACTGGAGGATATATTATTACCAAAATTATTGGAGATTTACAACAAGGCGCTATTGGATGCCAAAACACCTGATTCGTGGAGGGAAGCGTATATCACATTGCTACCAAAAGAAGGTACCGACTCAAAACAAATAAAAAATTATAGACCAATTTCCCTTTTAAATTCGGATTACAAAATTTTCATGAGCATAATGGCTGAAAGAATGAAAAGAATATTAAATATTATGATACATACAGATTGGAACGGCTTCCTCCCTAGCAGACAAATAAGGAATAATATATGAATAGTCATTGATACTCTAGAATATTACGAGGCCCACCCTGAAAAGAAAATGGCATTAGTTTTTCTAGACGCCCAAAAAGTGTTTGACAACTTAAATTGGGAGTTTATGATTGAACAAATTAAAATGATGAAACTTGGAATGAACTTTGAGAGAATAATAAAGACAATGTACAATAAACAAAGGGCGAACATAATATTAAATGGAGATATGACTAAATCATTCCAGATAAAGAAGGGAGTAAGACAAGGATGTCCACTATCACCATTATTATTCATTATGGCCCTGGAAGTATTGTTAAACAGGATTAGAAACAATAATGAAATAAAAGATTTGAAGATTAGGAATGAGGAATATAAAATGCAGGCCTTTGCTGATGATGTAGTGTTGATTGTGGAGGAACCTTTGGAATTGGGCTAAAAAATTTTGGAGGAATTAGGTAGATATGGAAAGATGTCCGGATTTAAATTAAACAAAGCCAAAACTAAAATGTTGGTTAAGAATTTGACAGAAAGGCAAAAGGAAGAAGTAGAAAAGATAACGGACTTACAAATTGTTAAAAAAATTAAATATCTAGGAATTTGGATAACATCAAGATGTTCAGCCCTGAAAGAGGATAATTACGTACCCCTGATTAAAAAAATTAAACAAGATTTGGAAAGATGGGGAAACTTGCAACTATCTCTTTTAGGTCGGATAGCTGCAATAAAAATGA